AGGAGGAGAGTCCGGGCTCACGGGAGATGCCAAAGAGATATGGAGGGAGTCAGGCACAAGTAATGAAAGAAAGGTAAAAGCCACATGGTAAAACATAGACTAATAAAAGCAGGTTAGTTTACACTGCCAGAGCTAGTGGGACAAGCCTAAGCTAAGGCTGAGCTTCCCTAATTAATAATAAGTTCTGTGTCATTGTTTGTTAGCCAGTCACCTAAAGTAATATCTGTTTTACAGGCCATGCTGCAATGGGCTTTGGGTGGGGTCAGGATCTGTGTTGGGGGCCCTTTCCCATGTTGCCACAGGCGCCCATATAGATGCCCTGCCAACTGTGGCCAGGGTATAGCCTGCACCAGGGCCATGTCTGGGCCTGCTGCATCCAGGGTCTGTGCTGGTGTTGGTGCCTCTTAAGACCATCAAAGGGGCCATGTTGGTGTCTGAGGCCACAATGCTGCGGAGGCCATGCTGGTCCTAGTGGCCTGCACTGCTATCTGGTATCTTGGTGACTCCTGGGCACAGGCTACTGCCTAGCCTGGGCCTATTATCCTACAAAGCCAGTGTCTATAGTGATGTCCATGGCCCATGTTCCCACCAAAGGCCACATAGATGACAAGGGGGTCTGGGCCATAGCCTGTGGCCACAAGGGCATCTGAGGGCCATGCTACCAATAGGGATATCCTGATAAAAGTGCCTGTACTGTCACCCTGGGTAATGGTGTCATCCAGTCCAGTGCTACTGCAGAGGGCTAAAGCAGTCGGGGTCTGAGTTTAAGGTCTGTGGCTCCAGTTGTCACCAAGGACCACATGGATGACTGGGGTTAGCTAGTCACTTTGGGTCATATTGGTGTCTGAGGACCATGCCCAGGGCAATGCTGATCTGAGTAGCCAGTGCTACCACCTAGAGCCATGTAGATGTCCAGGGACGGGCACTGCCTAATGACATGTCTAGTTCCATAGCTCTGTGAAGGCCAGGGTTTGGGGAGTGGTGTCCATGGCTCCAGTTTCCAACAAGGGTTCTGTGGATGCACAGAATCTGACCAGCCACCTGGGACCATGTAGGTGCCCAGGGGCCGTCCTGCTGTTAGGGCTATGCTGATATGAGTGGCCAATGCTGCCACTGGGGCCATGGTAGCGTCCGGACGGAGCAGCTGCTGCTGAGGGCCGTGCCTGCGTCCATGGTCCTGCTGCAGCTGGGGTCTGTGGTAATGTCCATGGCCCATTTTAACATGGAGGTCATTGGAACCATGCTGTGCTGAGCCTGCCCCACTCACCACTGGCCCTAGGATCGCTGGTCCTGCCCCTCAGGAAAGATGGCTCCACCACTCATCATAGGCATATACTTCACCTGGAAAGCACACTAGAGGTGAGCCTGTGTTCAGGGATGCAGATGAGTCATGAGAGCAGGAGAGCTGACCCCACCCCTCCTCATCTGCCATGAGCTGGCATGGGTGAGGAAAAGATGTCCTCCCTCTCTCTGCCCCTTGGTAACTTTCAGGTGAAATGGAGAGACAACTAGCATTACCCCACATTAGTTACAGCACACAGAAGAGCAGACCCTGTACCCCAACTGAGCAGCATGCTACAGCTGACTCCCATTGTCAGGGTCACAAGCGAGCTAGTCCTGAGAGCCTGGAAGCAGGAGAGCAGACCCCCCACTTCCTCTCTTATGTCCCCTACAGTGACTGGGAGACAGAGCCCTGTACCTAGCCTGGCCAAAACAGTAGAGCTGGCTTGGGCAATATGAGTGAGTGAGGGGGACTTAGATTTGAGGGCCTGAGCGCAGGAGAACTGGCCCAGGTCCTTGCTGTAGGCTGTATGGGTGAGCTAGTCTAGGCAGTGTGGGAGGGCTCTCCCTAGGGAAGAAGTTAGGAATTTGAGCAACCCAACCCAGCTACCACCCAGGCCCAAACCACTACATGAGTTGGTCTACCCCAACATCCACCGAATATATGTACTGATGGAGCATGCTAAGATGATGAACCCACCAAGCCAAAACCAAGGGATCCTCATGGCACAGGATAGCAGCAGGATGCCCACGAGGAGGCCCGTTGAGATCCCATTGTCAGAGGCATAGCAGAAACCAGAGGCCTCGAGGCAGAGTAGTGACTCCTGGTAATGGACCCTTGAAAGTAAACATGAATGAACAAAAGGGTAAACTGTGTGATTCACCAGGCCATGCTACAGCTTCCATGACAAGATTCTTCTTTTTTATTTTATTTTTATTCTTGCTTTGTTTCTTTGCTTTTCTGGGTTTTTTGGGTTTTCTTTATAATTTGGTTTTGACTGGGGGCAGAGAGTTGCAAGGGCAGAAGGGACAGTCGAGGAGGCAGGGAGATGAGTGGGATCAGAATGCATGATGTGAATTCACAAATAATCAATAAAAGATAAAAAAGTAATGAAAATTAAGATGTACCAGAAAAAAAGGATGGCATAAAATTGATTTTTAAAAACCTAAAAACAGCTTTCATAATAACAAAAAAGAACCCAAAAGCAAAAAAAAAAAACTTTAAAAAATTACTCCATTGCTGTTAAGTGGCTGCCCAGCCTTAACTAATTGTGTCATTTTCCCAAAAACGTTTTTTTTTTTTTCCTGATTAAATCCCCATTGACTATGTATGAGGATTTCTTCCACTCCAGGCATTGTGTGTTACTGGTAATGTCAGTCTTTTACACTTTAGTTATTCTGACCAAACACAGTGCTGTTACAACTATGATAGGTCATACATTTCACACAAATGACCTGCATATTTTCTAGTACGTATTTCCCATTTGGGGATTTCATTTTCTGAAAACTGTGTCTAATATTTCACGCATTTTTATGTTGGTCTGTATCTCTGTCCCCTTTTTACCTGAATTTTATTCTTCATATAGCTCAACCGACGTAGTCACTTCACACAGAGAAGCATTTTCTCCTTTCACGCTGAGTTTCTTTGCATGCGTTATGCGTCTTTGATCAGATAGTGGGCCTGCCTTTCGTGCTGTTCTGCATGGCAGATCTTCTGTACAGAGACTGCTCTCCTCATCCTCACTTAGAAATCTTTATCTACCGCCAGTCATGAAGTTGGCTTTTGGTGAGAACCTCTTGGTGTTTGACTGTTTTACTTCTCACAATGAGATAAGTGATCCACATCTAAGTTATTGGAAGCTTGATGTCTATGTGGCCCAGATATATCTTTTTTTTCAGTGTGGACAGCCAGTTGACCAAGTGTGCTTTATTGAGACTGGATGTTCAGGGTTTGTCTTTTCAACTTCTTTTTTATGACATGTTTGTGTTTTTTGTTTTGTTTTGTTTTGTTTTGCTATGGGAAAACAATTTTACCTTAATTACTGTAGCTTAAAAATTTTTCTTATCGTTGGGCGGTGGTGGCACACGCCTTTAATCCCAGCACTCGGGAGGCAGAGGCAGGCGGATCTCTCTGAGTTCGAGGCCGGGCTGGACCAACAGCCTCTAAAACAATACAGAGAAACCCTGTCTGGTAAAAGCCAAAAAAAAATTCTTATCACAGCACTACTCATCCAACTGACTACATGTTTTTCACATTATTTGTGACTTTCAATTTAATTTTAAAGGGAGATTTAAAAAATTAAGGTAAAGCTTACTGAAAATAGAAATTGAACTTTGTTGAACTGCAAGAATAAATTTAGGGATGTTATGGTTTCGATGAAAAATGTCCCTTTAAATTAATGTAGGGGGACTTGCTTGGTCTCTAGTAGTGACAGCATTATTAAGAAATGAATGTGACAGTGTGCACTAACCTGGTAGCAGATAGGCCTAATTGGAGGAAGTAGGTTACCATAGGTCCTCCCTCCCCTTCTCCTCTCCTCCCCTTCCTTTTATTCCCCTCCCCTCTCCTCTTTTCTCTCCTCTCTTCTTCTCTCCTTCACTCTCCTCTCCTCTTCTCCATTCTCCTCTCATCTCCTCTCCTTCCCTCTCCTCCCCTCCCCTCTCCTCTGCTTTCCTCCCCTCCCCTCCTCCCTTTCCCTTCCTTCCCTCCCCTATCTTTCCCTCCCCTTTACTCTCCTCTCCCCTCTCTTCTCCTCCCCTACTCTCTCCTCCCCTCCTGTAGGGATTGATCTTATGTACCTGCAGCACTGACCACATCCATTTGGGCATGGTTTATGTTTATTTTGTATCAATTGCATATTTTTCTCCATTTGCTTAGGATTCATTAAGAAATATCATAAGCAAATAGAGCATCTAATATATGTAGCATACTGAACATCAATGCTTAGTCATGCAGTACGCAGTGCAGCATCTTACAAAAGGTAACTGGGTGCTAAGCTTCTACCTCTACATCAGCCTTCCCAGAGTATCATACCACTTGCCGATAGCTCAGGAAGATATCGAAATGAAAAAACAAAAGCACAAGTTCAATTTAATGAATATTGATTTTGAAATGTCGCAAAGTCAAAGCTTGTGGGTTGACTATTAACCTGAACAGTAAGAGTAAGATTGGATAACGATGGGCAAGCAATAAAATTTATGCTGAACTCCATTGAACACTGCTGTGACACAAAAATAAACCCCACATCCCACACCTACCACACCCACTCAGCCTCCAGCATTATATCACCAACACATGTTCCTTTGAGCCTTCCTTGTTGCCATGGCAATACCTGTACCATCTGAGTTGGGAGGAGAACATCGAAGAAAAGCCTCCTTCTCTACCGAAGCTCGGGAATCGTCAGCTTGTCAATTTTGACGTGAACCCAGAGAATCTCCCTAACAGTTTCTGCCAAGCCCCCTTTACCTCCTTATTCCTTAGACTATAAATCATAGGGTTCAGCATGGGCATCAACACAGCATAAAAAAGGGAAATTAACTTCTCCTGAAGGACGGACGGGTTGGAGTGGGGCTGGATGTAGGTGAAAATGGTGGTACCATAGCAGAGTGTTACCACAGTGAGGTGGGAGGCACAGGTGTGGAAGGCTTTCCTCCTTCCTTCCGTGGACTGTATCCTCAGGATGGTGGAGATGATCTGGATGTAGGACAGGAGAACCAGGAAGAAAGGCGTCATCAGCAAGACAATGCTAGACACCATGATCACGATCTCATTGGAGGAGGTGTCCACACATGCCAACCTGACCACAGCTAGAATCTCGCAGGAAATGTGATCAATGTACTTATTTGCGCACATAGGCAGCTGAAAGGTGATGGCGGTATGCACAAGAGAGTTGATGGAGCCACTGACCCAAGACATGATGACCAGCCTCAGGCAGAGCCCTGCATGCATAATGACTGAGTACCTCAGAGGGTCACACACTGCCACATAGCGGTCATAGGCCATCACGGCCAGGAGAAGGAACTCAATCCCTCCCAAGCCCAGAGAGAAAAACAACTGTGCCGCACAGCTCAGAAATGGAATTGCTTTGTGTGCGGCTAGAAAATGGGCCAGCAGCTGGGGGACTACACTTGTGGCGTAAGACACATCCACGAGTGACAGGTTCGTGAGAAAGAAATACATGGGGGTGTGGAGCCGGCTGTCCAGTCTGATCAGAAGAATGATGAGGAGGTTCCCCAGCACTGTCACCAGGTACATCAGCAAGAACAGGATGAAGAGGGAGACTTGAGTGACCCGGTCTCTGGACAGGCCAAGGAGGATGAATTCATGAACCCATGTCTTGTTGTCCTGTTCCATTAAAAAACGTGATGATTATTAATCTGCACAGAAAGTAAGAAAAAAAAATAAAAGCAATCAAGTAACCATAGAGTTCCAGGTAAAATTATATATAACACATGTGACTTGCCTGATATTTTATTAGTCTTCAGTCCATTCATGAGACTGCATTTGCATACTCAGTCTGGGCTTTACATACTACAGTTTCATGAGCACTGTGTTTTGTTTTGTTTTGTTTTTACCTATTTCCTTTGTTTTCAGGCAATAATTTGCTGTGATAAGTAAAACAACAAATGATATAGAGTCCTAATGTTTTAAAACTTCCAAAAATATGTCAACTAGCTTACTCTCAATAGAATTCAAAAATCAATTACAAGACCAATTATTCTGAGTATGCAGGGTTTTGTGGTAAAATCTAGAATCAGAAGACATTTTAAGTCTCAGTTGTCTATAGCAGGTATGTCATTTACAGGTCATGATAAAATTTCTCACACAGAAAAAACATATTCAATATTTCTCAAGTACATTAAATATGCAAAATTCTTGGGTAATATTACTGCTATATTATCACAGTACTGGGTGTGTTTGTATCATTAGGACATCCACCTTGGGAACTTAGTAAAGTAAATTTGGTTTCCTTCTCACATTTTCCACAAAATAGAAAAAATGTTGACAGCCTTTAAAAGAAATCTTTTTTATCTTTTTAGTAGGCTTTAGTCTCCCCTTCAGTTCATGGTCTAGAGAAGGGTGTCATGATGATGTCCAGTTCTTGGTGTTTTTCTCTTTTTGCCTTAATTTGGTTAGGGACTTCTTCAGGTGTCAGTTGAAAGGAAAGAAAAAAACACATCCAGATCTAAGTAAGAGACAGAGGGAAAGCAGACATTTAAGGGTCTATTGTCATTATTCAATAGAGTCATCTAAGAAATCTTACAGAGGTCCATTGGAGCTGAAATTCCCTTCTGGTTGCTTGTGTTGGGCAAGGGCTTTTTAAAAGTAGTAAAACATGATGCCAACTGTAAACATTGAACAGAAACAGAGGTTGTCTCTAAAAACTTCTAAGATAGACTGCTATTTCTCCTCCATATCTGCCTGTCGCCGGTCCTGTGACTACTAGAATGTGTGAAATGGGGGAAAAAACTAGAAGAAGATACAACAGAAGTAACCAAGGGGATAAACAGAGGATGCTGACCATTTCTAAACTCTCTGAGGCTAAAAAGGGAGCACCACCACACTTTGACTTCCCTGATGAAGAATGAAACTAAGTCACTGAATCTAGAAACGTCCAACTCACATCTTCATCTAAGTACTTCTCATTCTCTTCTTTCACAATTCTCCAATGCCTATGAGATTAGTTTACCATAGTTAGCTGTTGTTAGCTTTACCACAGGAAGCTGTCTTATAGTATACAACCCAACACAGTACTATTAATTTTACTTACTAATTATAGCAATTATTATACATTGTATGTTTTACAGCAAACTATATTATCAAATCAAGCTACTCTATAGACAAACACATTTTTGATATGTTACGTGAGTGATACCAAGACTGTTTTTATTGTGAAATGTTTATAAATAAAATAATGCCAAAAAGGATCTTTGCACGGTGGAGAGCCCAACAGAAGGGGTACATTGTGAACTTATGTATCAGTTTATAATGATGGCAGTCAACACATTGGGTCCAAAGAACAAAGTAAAGGTGTAGATTGCAGACAATGAAATTGCAGAAGGAGTAGAAAATGTGGTATTTGTAGTAAGGATCGATTTTCCTCATCTAAAATAATGTCAATATTTCACCCTAGGGAAAGTCTTCCACATGTATTTCAAACTCCATTAAACAATTGTTGACCACAGCAAAAAGTAGGATCATAATGTTTCAACAGCTCTCAAAGACAGAAGTTAGACATTCACATTTCTCATTCAGCTTTTTGCATGCTACAGTGTGGCTCATTTAAAGATTGAATTTTAATCTATTTTTTAAATAAAGTAAGTTTTAATATTATGTTGAACCCACATGTGCCTAACCTCTTGCTATTGAAAGTCGTAGCCCATGCTTTAATAAGCCAAATATTGATTTACACTTATTACATCTTGATGAATCTAACAACATTTTACAAGGTTTTGTTAAGCTTAATATTATTGTCTTAGAATGCTGTTTGCTAAGCATACCTGTTACCTGAAGAAGACAAGGAGAAAGACTCACACAAGTAGAGTAGGCTAGGGATGGATTAGGTGGATTTGGCTTTTGATATCCTGCCTCCCTTTTAAGTCTGTCTTCTACCCTTTCATCTACAAGTCAAATAGCTTCTCACCAATTTCAGTACCACCACTCTGCACCAAGTCAACCTTCCAGCAGATATGGGGCCTGTCTAAGAATTTTCCTTTGCTCTGCCCACTTTTAAAACACCTTTTGAAATTCAAGGCCTTCCTAAAGTCAAAGCAAATATATTACTAATGGCAACCTCTCAAACATTGATTTGGTGATATTTTCTATTATCATTTAATACCTAAAATTGTGGAATCATTTAGCCAGTATGTTTTAATTCACTCAAATCTGAACAGTTTATTGCTCAGAAGGGACCCCCATTTGTGCCCATCTGTCTCCATCTCTGCAGAATGCCTGAGAGAGAAAAAAGTTTCAAATAAGGATAGGATTTCTGAAAATAAGGTGCTCAATTACCTTTTGTCTAACACATCTTCTGCATATCTGGGATGTAACTGAAATGATGCTTTAGAGGAGGAAAACGTGAAGCGCTGTTGACTGGGATAGAGATGAGAAATTTACCCAATGTCACAACCACTTGCTCTGCTGGTGTCACAGTCACCACATCAGTTGCAGATTTAGAGCTGATCTCTCACATGGACCTTCACGTTATTTCCTCACCACTTTTTAATGGAGAGTACTTGTCCTCATTTCTCTGTGGACCAATGCTCTTTGTTTAACTTTTGAGGAAGAGGCATTCGGGATGGGGCACTGAGGAACCATTTCTCTTTGCAAGGATCACCCTTACAATATCATGCCCTGATAAATGCTTTATAGCTTCGAGACCATGGTAAATCACTTAAATTCAATTAGATCATTGGGTCAGTAACTTAAGTACCCTCTCCTCATGCATATATGCACTAAGGAGAAAATCGTACTAGGTGTACACAACATAAAAGGATTTCCGAGATTCTCATCCTTCAAAAAATTATTTTAGCCAATATTCATGCCACTATAAATAAACATAGTGATCAACCTTAGACCAATCTTTAAAAGTCCAAAACCAATAATAGTGATCCTCAATGGTTAATCCATCAGCCATTTCACAGAAATGACCCCTGTACTTTTCTATTGGTGTTGCTGTAACACAAATGGATACAATACCAAAGGTTTTACTCCAAGAAAGCAATTGTTTGGTATCATCATCTTTTGTGAAGCTCCATTGAGTCTGAATCATACTTGGCCACCTTTTTTTTGAATACTCTATAGTTTTAGCTGTAACACTCAGAGTACTAAATACAGGCTCATAGTACACATTCTAACGTTCTACAGGCAATTTTCTCTCGTGCTGGCCTAAATAATGTAGAATCTTACCTTTGTACACTTGATTCTTCCATGAAAATAACTCCTTCCTCCAGAGAAATGTTCATGATCATATATGTGTCTGCCCAGCTGTTTTCTGTACTTACACTGTATTTTATTGTGGGAAGAATGTTTCCATAATCCTTACATTTGGACACAGGGATACTTCAGTGGGTGAAATGTGAAAAATGTTTTTATATCAGAGTCACTGATGTCTTTTTTCTTGGTGTCTCATTATTTACTACATCTACAGGTTTGTTCATTTGACTTTTCCTGTAATCTGATTCTAATTATCGAAACTCAGTCTTTAAGCAGGTACAATCTTGAAATTCACATTTGATGATCTGTCTTATTTTGGTTACATTGTGGAAATCCCAATATTCTTTATTTCTCTTGTCCTATGTGTCCAGGATATTCCTTACAGTACTCTGTTATTTTTGATTCTATAATACTTTCCTAAAGCTGATTCAAGGACCAAACCCAGCAAGACAGTCAGGATTTGAAGTACTTCCTTTGAGAAAAAATTTTTTAAAAAGTCACATATACACAGTCAGAGAAATAATTGAGACAAGATACTTTAAAGACATTGAAATGTTTTCTTTCCCAGAAATGTAATGTTCTCCTACTACATATTCATGAATGTCCTTGCCGAAGTACATATTTAATTAAACTAGACATTGTCCTGTGTCTTAACAAAAATTATTCAGGATTCATCTATCATGTTTTCACTTTTAATTAATAATATTTTTCCTTGAATGTCTCCAATCATCAAGCCCCTGGGAAGCTGAATGGTTTCATTCTAATTCCTGTAATCCTGAGTGTGAGAAGATCCCAGCATCCATATGTCCCACACAGTCCATATGCCCACACAGATCACATCACTATTTGTTTTGCCTGTCTATGGGCTCCTGGTTACATCCACCCTCTGTTGACTGCTCTATTAAAATTCCTGAGGTGGCAGTCAGTACCTTGCGTTGTGGATGTATCTCCTTCAGCCAAGGATTGTATTGCAAAGGATGCTTCCTGTGTCAGAGTGGTGGACTGTGGAGATGTCCCAGTTGTCCCAGGCTCCATGGCTCTAAAATTAGTTTACAGAAACTAACGGGAGGAAACACACAGGTGATCCCAAGTGGGCTCACACACAGCACTAATAAAGTGAGACAGAGACTGCCCTGGTGACCTGGAGCCAGCAGAGTCCCTCAGGAGCTTCTTACATTGGTGTATTAATTGCTCTCATCACTCCCAAATCTCAGTGGCGGGGTCACCATGCTGCCCTTCCTCTCCCTGTGGAAGGCTGTTCTTCATCCCTCAAGTTCCAGTGAATCCTTAGGTCATTCTTTTATTTTTAAAGTACATGAACCAGCTCTGTGACATTTCATCATGCCCTCATATAGTACAAATTACTTTAGCTCCCAGAGCCTGTGTTCCAAGGAGGTATGGCTGCTCCCATGGCTAAA